GGGGAGGGCTGTGCAACAGAGAAGACAAGTAGTGATTCTATAGCATCTTACTACGCTGATGGACAGTGACTGTAATGGGATTTGTGGGGGGTACTTGGTGATGGGGGGAGTCTAGTAAATATAATGTTCCTCATGTAATTATAGATTAATGATACCAAAAAAAATGGGCAAGCATAGGGAAATCAAGTTGTGAACTCTTGACTAATGAATTCTAAAGTAGTATATCAAATTGTAAGGTCACCTTACAAGACATTTTTTAGCACCATTATCTAACAAAAGTATACTTTTCTCCAAGATTTCCAGGAAGAAGATACTTAACGCTTTGCAGACCAGTAAAGTTGATGCTAATGTAACATTTATAAAGTCAATTCAGTTTTATAAATTTTTAGTAATATTAACCACAATATAAAATCTTCCAGAGAAGAACTTTAGGCACTTGAATAAAAATAATCTAATTATTTCTAGAAAACATTCTAATGAGCTTGATAGCTACTTATACCCTCATTTTATAGCTGATGAGGCTGAGACAAAGTGCATTGCTCAGGGTCATAAAATGAGTCAGTGGAGAAAGGAAATTTTTTCTTACGGTCTGTGGTAGGTCATGTTTTTGGTCTGTCTGAAGGGCCTTTTTCCTTTTAATGAACGATAAAAATTGCATTATCTGAAAGCCTTAGAATATGGTATAAAGTTGAAAACCTGATTTTAAAAATCAGTTATAAAAATAATTACTTTATGAAGATTTACAATTATATAGTTGGATTGGTTTTTTCTTTCTCAATATAAAACATTTTTCAGTATCTTCAAAGACAGCAAAGTAGTTGGAAAATATATTGGCTGTATGTTATAGCTTAAGCTCATAAGTCACTGGTTTCCTGTGGTGAGTGTCATGTTAGTGGCAGTATAGATTGATTGAAATTAGAAAATACTGTGTCTATTCATGTAGAAAATAAGCAACTAGAAAATAACTTGAACGATAACCTTAAGTCACCATTTATATGTTCCCAGCTGCAAGTTATTCAGTGTATTGATGTGGCAGAGCAGGCCTTGACGGCCTTGGAGATGTTATCACGTAGACACAGTAAAGCCATTCTACAGGCGGTAAGTGTTGGAACTAAATATTTGATTTAGTGTTGAGTCGATTTTAGATCACATTTGTATTAGCTCCTGGATTGCCATCTCTATAAGGTACAATTTCCCAAGTGAAGTGCTAGACTCTTTACTACTTTTTTTTTCTTTTAAATTGCTGTTAGAAGGGCGTTTCTTCACCTTAACAGTTTTCTGTATTTTAGGGTGGTTTGGCAGACTGCTTGCTGTATCTAGAGTTCTTCAGCATAAATGCGCAAAGAAATGCACTAGCGATTGCAGCCAATTGCTGTCAGAGTATCACGCCAGATGAATTTCACTTTGTGGCAGATTCCCTCCCGTTGCTTACCCAAAGGCTAACCCATCAGGTAAAAGATGAGCCTATTTTATGTGTAATAAAATTTTTTATTACATTTTTAAAAAATGCCAGTTTCAACTAGGGTTTTGAGTCTTGCAACTGGATATATAAATTGGAAATGTTCTAATCAGTGTTGTTTCCTATGTTAACCAGTTATGTACCTAAGGGTCACTTTATAAAATTTTGGTGGATTCACCCACAGAACCATATTTCATATTTGATATCTTCAGTTGTTTTGACTCTTAAGTTGTTATTTCAGCAAAAAGAGCGTTTACTATGTGATATGACCAGAGTTTCCTTTTGGAAAGATTACCCTGTCTTTAAATGGTTAGGCAGACAAGACTAGGAGGATAATAATTAGATCATAAGAAGTGAGATTGTATCCCAGATAGAAATAAAATGAAAATGTAGGCTGTGCTCTCTGGGGTTGGAGTAGAGCAGGAGCAATTATTTAGGAGGTGGAATCAGTGAGCCTGGTGATACAGTATGAGCAGTAGGGTTCGCAGAGGCTGGCGTGGAGGACATGTCATGAGTTAAACCTTAAGCTTGTAGAGAAATTTAATTTTCTTTCAATACAAGCCAATGTTTTAAAGTGTTGTTACTGCTAAAGAGATACTTAGAAATCCAGCTTTGTAAATCACGTTTACAAGGCGTTCTTAAAGTCTTGGGAAAATTAGGTACATAGAATATATTACGGGGTTATATAAGATAATATAGTAATTATTGAGTCACTTTGAAGTGTTGTGCTTCTAAGATGATTAAGATACAAGTGGTGCCATTGATTGTTTACTTATTTTTTTAAAACTTAGCTGAGATGACCTGTGCTTTATGGGGACCACAGATAATGTTCTCCGGTTAGCTGTGATTTCAGTACTTTATTTTGGAAATAAGTCGTAAGAGTTAAGAGAGGTTAAGTAGTTGGCCACTGTTATTTGTAGCACTATGTCTGTATGTACTAAGTAGTGACAGAGCAAGTGTAGGGCTTTTATAATACCAGAATTATTCTCATTTTTATACAAGTCTAGTTTTTACATCTTTAAAGGAGAAAACAAACTCTGTCAAAACACTTAGTAAATCATTAAATTGTTCTTTTCACTTTTACAAGGATTATTTCAAATATTTTCTCAGTGAGACTAATGTTCTTCCTTGATTATTTTCATAGTGAATAAAGCAAATCTACACCTAGTTTCTCATGTTACCAGGAAAACTCTGGCTAGCACACGTATACTTAAATACTGTTTCCAGTGTTTTAGTATATGAATGTTTTAAACATTTTTACTGGGAATGCTGTTTAGAATGGTGTGATATGTCTTTTTTTGTTGTTGTAATTTTTGTATAGGTATTGAAATTGACAAGGCACAAAAGTTGGTCCTTTTCTATGTAATTGCTTTTATCTGTTGGGCCTTAGTGAGAGAGAGATAATGTCAGTATGATTCTCTTCACTTTGCAATCATATTGTTACACCTTCCTAGGCTCATTACATTTTCAAAGCTCACATCTGATTGAGCCGGCCTTGAAGAATTTGGGGTTAGGAAGAAGATTAAGGTAGTGATGTTAATACAGTGAAAATGTTTTATATTAATAAGCTTTATTTTTTTTTGTTTAAAAAAATAGGATAAAAAATCAGTAGAAAGCACTTGCCTTTGTTTTGCACGTCTAGTGGACAACTTCCAACATGAAGAGGTAAGGATTTAGCCTTGGTGGTGCTTTTTTGAAGTTGTTAAATTGCTGAATCACCATATAACAATTCCTTTTTTCTTGTGTTGTGAAGAATTTACTCCAACAGGTTGCCTCCAAAGATCTGCTTACAAATGTTCAACAGCTGTTGGTAGTGACGCCACCAATACTGAGTTCTGGAATGTTTATAATGGTGGTTCGCATGTTTTCTCTGATGTGTTCCAATTGTCCAACTTTAGCTGTTCAACTTATGAAGCAAAGTAAGTGTTATTTTCCTACTTTAAGCAGGAGAAGTGTCTTCTTTTAAAATGTTCATTAATAAGTAAAGTCATTGTAAGCAGAAGAGATTGTTAATATAGGCACTGGATAATAAAGGAAGAAAATGTTAATGTGTAGTAAATTTGTGTGCAGACAACATAATTATAGTATAGTTGACCCATGAACAATGTGCGGGTTAGGACTGCTAATAACCCCACACAGTCCAAAATGTGGGTAACTTTGACTCTCCAGAAACTTAACTACTAGCAGTCTACTGTTGACCAGAAGCCTACTGATAACATAAAACAGTTGATAAACACATACTTTGTATGATACCTGTATTTTATACCTATTCTAACAATACAGTAAGCTAGGGAAAAGAAAATGGTTTTTCAAATTGTCTCAAATCTCCAAAAAATTTTCCAGTATATTTATTGCAAAAAATCTGTGTATAAGTGGTTCAAACCTGTATTGTTCAAGGATCAACTGTCCATTAAAATTTTAGGGGCTAAAGAACCAAGATCATGGCTTTGATAAAGTTTCCATTATGTAATGATGTTTCCATCAGAATTCTCAGTTTTATGTTGCTGCCTATAATTGCTTGTCTTCCACCTTTTAATGGTCCTTTCTGCCCATGTCAGATTTTCTAGCAGTTTATCTGATTCCAAAATGTTCTCTCCCTCAAAAGGTTGGAACTTATACAGATGGTGTCTCTCATCTTTGCTAATTTAGTATTTCTAAGCCTTTCCCAACCTTACTGAATATGCAGGAAAACAAGTTCTGTTGTACTACCATACTGCTCACATTTTCTCTCTTAAACTAGGTTTCACAAGTTAGTGTCTGAAGACAGTGGTTTAAGAAAACAACTATGTGTTAGTATTAGTGCTAGCAGAGTATAGCTTACTTTTGTGTGGAATATCTGTAATTGTGGGTAATTTTGTATCCATAATTCTAATCTCTGAGCATGTTACCTTGGGAGTCTGATGATACTGACAGAACAGCCTTTGGTCTTAACGGCTTAGAGTAGTAAGTAGCATAACACTACTTTTTTGGGGGAAACTCAGTTTTATCTTTAGTTTCATGTGAATTAGCACATTGGCAGAGAATTTTGGAGAAAAATAATACAACTGAAGTGATTTATTGAAAAGAATGTACCATTGCTGTGTATTAACATTTCTTAGGCAAGTTGGCAAAACCATAATTTTTTAGGAAAATAAAAATTTTCATCACTGTTGGGGCAGTTTCTGTGAAACAGAGATTTAACTATCTACACCTCTTTACCCAAATCAGTGATAAATACTTCGCTTGATAACAGGACTTACTGATTACTGGCAGTATTTTTCAGTGCAGTGTTTCTATTTTACATATATATAGTATTTAGAGAAACATATACAACCAGCGCCAGCAAAGCTCTGGCCTTGTTTAGCTTAGCTGTCTGAGTGGCAACCTGTGTGGAGGCTGGAAGCTTCCTCCACTGATAGTGTCTATACATCAGGCTGTTTTCATGCAAATTCCCCCCTGTGCTGATGTCTTCTGGGAATAGAAACTTCTGGCAGAGGATATTTTAATTATCTTTGTATTAGATTGGCATGCTAAATGTATATAAGGTAATGGCTTATATGGTAATGTTCAGGTGGTTTTAATTGGTATGTTTTATCCTTCGGCCACAGATTTTTGGTATCTTTGAATAGAAGACAAATACTTAAATATACTTGAATTGATGCTTCAAATGTATGTTGAATATACTTTTGTACAAAGCACTGTGCTCCTCAAGGAGGGTTAATAAAAGATTCCTGAAGTCTCGGGGCATAGATTTGTGAGTAGTTGTCCAGCCTAGAAACTCAGGAGTCCTTAGAAAGAAATTGTTAAAATTTTCATAAACCTTTTAAAAGGTTTTTACTATAACTCATTTTTATTTTAATTTTTGTAGTATATTGCTTTATAAAAAATAATTCTGATTGTTTTCCCCTCTAAGGAATGATTATCTCTTAAATTAGGTAATATAAGTATTCTCATGGGCTTTTGTTTTTTATTGGTTTTACAGACATTGCAGAAACGCTTCACTTCCTCCTGTGTGGTGCCTCCAATGGAAGTTGCCAGGAACAGATTGACCTTGTTCCACGAAGTCCTCAAGAACTGTATGAATTGACATCTCTGATTTGGTAAAGATGGGGCTAATAGTAACTGGTTTATGAAAGGGTATTTTACCTGGAGACTGTCATTTCCTAAAAGTTCAGGAGGCTGCTTTGTAAAATAATTGCACTTTTTGTTTTCAGCGAGCTTATGCCATGTTTACCAAAAGAGGGCATTTTTGCAGTTGATACCATGCTGAAGAAGGGAAATGCACAGAACACAGATGGTGCGATATGGCAGTGGCGTGACGACCGTGGCCTTTGGCATCCCTATAACAGGATCGACAGCCGGATCATTGAGGTAGTAGTTTCATTGTACCATTTAAATATGTCTGTTTTGGTGGAGAGTGGGTGTAGGGATGGAGCAGGAGGGTGGCTGTATGTACTTAAATGTGCTGAGTTTTAAATTAACTCAAGATTCTCTTATTTTGTCTCCTGAGAACAAGGTCCTCATTTCTGTTCAGGTCAGAAAACATGGTGCTCTAGTCCTGCTTCTGCTGCTAACTACCTGATTGACATGGAGCGAGTAATTTAAGTTCTTTTTTCTATTGTTTCCTCATCTGGAAGGAAACAATGGAGGAGCTAGGCTATATATTTCTAAAAGTTCCCTCTATCTCCTATCCAGAAGAATCAAAAGCAAAGATTTACATAAAATAGTTGCTTCTGAATATTTCTTCAGAGCAAAAACATAGAAACAATTTATATACCTGTATCTAGCGAATGATTAAGTAAATTGTGATATATTCATAGGTTTTCTTATAATGCAGTCATTAATGGGATAAGTTTTAATGGCATAAAATGGGATCTGATAAATGAAAATACTCAATTAATGTGGCTCTTTTGGGAACTTGGCAAAATAAAAGAGGACAATAACAAAGGAAATACACCAAAGTCTTCACAGTGTTTTTCTGTGAAAGTTTTATGTATAATTTTATTCTTATTTCCATACTTCTGTGTAAACTTTGCAGTGAAATGATTTAAAAAAAATTTCAGGTCAGGAAAAGTACTTGTCCCAGATGAGGTAGGAGACAGTGTCGGTCACTGCATTTTTGAGATGGCATGCATCCTTTACTGATATTTTCAATATATAACATACCTTTAAACCCCTATTTTCTGATTTTAACCTGTGGTATTTGAATTTTTTAGAACATAATAATTAAACAGACATTCTTTAAAGATGTCATCTACCAATTTCTAAAAATACATTTTTGAAAAACTTTGAAGCCACTGACTTATGTTATAAAACCATAAATCCTTATAAACATACCTAAATTCTGAGGCAGCAGCATTTATGAGGAGTTAACTGACGGTCCTTCTGTGCACTGCCAGCTTCAGTGTCTGTGCAGGTTGTGGTCTCTTAACTCTGTGTGTTCTTCTTAGCATTTTCCCGATACTGCCTTTTCACTGTTAGCTCACCGTCTTGTATTTCCTAAGAGTGCTGTCTTTCAACCTGGGAATGCCAGAGATTGCACTTGCACTGTAATAAGATGAGATATTCTGTCACTTCATTGGACTGTTCTAAAATCAGCCAAACTGTTGATGAAACAGTCTCAGTTTAGATGTATACCGTGCAGCAGCACACTGAGCCTCTAGTGATTGCTCTCTTATTTCCAGTCATGTCTCTTTCAGTCTTAGAAGCACCATTCAAATGTAGAGGCTTTTTCATTTACCTAGGACAGTTTCTTAGAACATTTTATTTAAAGAGGGGGATTTTAGGTGGATTGCTAAGAATCTATGATGTCAATAATGCTTTAACCTAAGACAATTAGATACTAAGATTTATGGATAACATTTTTTTTCCTATCAGCAATGTCTTAAAAGCCTTCGTAATACAAATGATGGTTTCTTCGTGTCAATGATTCTTCATGACTGGATCATTCAACAGGATTTTACCTGTATTTATGTCTTGGGGACCTGATAGGACCTTCGGTGTATATTTCTGTTCACTTAAACACGATTTGTTGAATGAATGAGTTTTGTCATATCCGCACTATTAAATTTTCCATATTCTATTACTTCACCATCTAAAACCTGATGAAATCTGTAAGTCAGCATTTGTGGAGGGTCCCCACTGTGTCTTAAGTTGATAAATTTCTCCATGTTTATATTCAAGGTTTCTCTCTCTTTGCTCTCAGGCAGCCCATCAGGTCGGTGAGGATGAGATAAGCTTGTCCACTCTGGGACGAGTTTATACTATTGATTTTAATTCTATGCAGCAAATCAATGAGGACACGGGAACAGCACGTGCCATTCAGAGAAAACCTAACCCCTTAGCCAATACTAACACTAGTAAGTACCTTTTGTATTCAGAGTAGTACTGTATGGTCATGTGAATAATACTTGTAATAATGTTTGAGAGTCTTTATTAAGTTTAAGACAGTTGCATAGGAGTAATTTTTTGTTACTGTTTTTTTTGTGTGTGTACTTTGGCGAGTGAGCCAGTATTACTTAACTGGTGCTAATCCTCTATATAATTTACATTATTTGCAGTGTCTTAGACTCCAGTCAGAATTGGCCTGTGCAATTGTTGTTATCCTATTACCCCTTAAGAATCACCCATACCCATCAGATTAGTTTTTTCCAACCTTCTGTTCTATATTTTGCTATCAAAATTCTCTTCTTCACTATTGAAGAATAGAAGATTATGATCTCCCCCACCCCCCCAGGTTTCTGGCATCTATCCCCCTCCTTGAAGATTTAGACTGATGTGTTTGCAGCTTTAGTTTAGAGTGCTGGGGTCAGCCATATTTTTTCTTCTTTGAAAAGGGCCAACAGATAGTAAATATTTTAAGTTTTGTGGGTCAGGCTCTGTACTCGACACTGCTGTTATAGCCCCCAAACAGCTATATCCAGGATGTAAAAAATGTACGTGGTTGTGTTCCAATATACTTGTATTGACAGAAATAGCTGGTTGGCTGGACTTGGCGTTCTGCTATACTTTGCCAAACCCTGATCTTGGAGCTTACCTTTCATCACTTACCTTTCCCTACACCTTACTGTCTCCAAGCAGAATGACAGCTCATCTTGTTTTTTCCATAGCCTCTGTTTGTTTCTTTCCAGTGGTTTTGCTGATTAATAAATAAATATCCCCACTATCTATCTGTTCAACCTTTGTTAGTGAAATAAGAGGTGCAGTGGTTGGTGGTGCCTTTTCCTCTTTTTATTTGGCCAGAATGGTCAGTGATTTTTCTAGCTGGCTAAGTTCTGTCTGAATGCCTTTAGCATCTATATAGACTTCACTTGATCACGTTAGGTAGGTTAATTTGTTTTATAACCAAAAATTTTTATGGCATTCTAAATAATTGTATTGGTCTGAATGTTTTATTTTTACTTCATTGTGTTTCTGAAGGCTGTAACTTTAAGATTGTACGTTTTTATAACAGGTGGATATTCAGAGTTAAAGAAGGATGATGCTCGAGCACAGCTTATGAAAGAGGATCCGGAACTGGCTAAGTCTTTCATTAAGACATTGTTTGGCGTTCTTTATGAAGTGTATAGCTCCTCAGCAGGGCCTGCGGTCAGACATAAGTGCCTTAGAGCAATCCTTAGGATAATTTATTTTGCCGATGCCGAACTTCTGAAGGACGTCCTGAAAAACCATGCTGTTTCAAGGTGTGTACATGAAAATAGTGAAAACATTTTAGAAATTCATGTCTCTGCAAGTAATTTGAGAAATCTTTAATAATACAGGGAAAACAGGCATAAAACCCTTCGTTGTCTTTTTATATTTGCAAACACACTTGATAAAAAGTGAAATAAATGCAAAAGTTGAGCGTTGAAGAAAAATTTTGTTTTAGTGGACTGGTTTCACAATTAGATTATTTTGCTCTCAGATTTACAGTATGCCCCAAAATAATTATCAAACTCAGATGAATGTTTTATATATAAATGCTTTCTTTTTTTAGTCACATTGCTTCCATGCTATCAAGCCAAGACTTGAAGATAGTAGTTGGAGCACTTCAGATGGCAGAAATCTTAATGCAGAAGTTACCTGATATTTTTAGTGTTTACTTCCGAAGAGAAGGTAATGTCATTCATAATTAACTAATTAATCTTTTAGTCTAAATAGTATTTCAATAGAAGTTTAATTTTAATCTGTGGAACAGAAATTAAGCTATTACCTTTTAATGTAAGATAATTTGTATACTTACTCCTTGAGTACATATAGTGTGTCTTCTATAAATCCATTAATACAAATTGTGTGAGATTCACTGTCAGTTAATGAACACTAGTAAGTTGCAGTGATTTTTTTGAGTTGCTAGTGCAAAAGCAATTATTGACTTACCTTTTTAGATCAGTAATGCATAGCTGCTCATAAAGATTCCTTGAAAAATCAGAGTTGATGTTCTTCCCCAGTGGATCGTATTAGTAGATCAGAACAATTGTGCAGATGATTATTTTGTATTTCATTGTGTAGCTAATGAAATATTTTAAGGCGTGGAATGCTGTTCAAGTGCAGTGGGGCTAGTCCTCTAATTTGAGGACTTTGGATGTAGATACCATCCTTGGAGACATGGTAATTTTCCATTCAATTCTTGGAGACTTCACAATCAAGCTGTATCATTCATTCAGGTTTGATTGCTTTTGAAACCTGCTAAGCTACTAAAAGAAGTTGTTTCTCTTCAACAGAAATCCCTTTTATTTTTGGTCTTTTAGGATACTTTGGTGTTATGAGAATACAGGAAATACTAGTGTTTTCCCCTTAAGTAACCCCACCTTTATCTTCCATCTTATCAGCAATCCTAGTATTTTCTGCATATGATTGTATGTGTTCTTATTTTTAGCCTTAGCTTATCTTGTATTTTGCATTTTGTGCATTATTTTTGATATCTATTTTGCTTTTGTTCCAAATTTTGGATTTGGAAGTATGTTAAAATCAATCTTTTTTCTTAATGGTGACTTTTTTTTTTTTTTTTTTTAGGAGTTTGAGTTTTGTTGTTGTTGTTGGGTTTTTCTTTAAGAATCTGATGGAAAGCCCTGGACTCTTCCCTAGAAAAATGTTGAGTTTGTGAACATTCATTCACATACATTCAAACACATAGACCTGCATGGAGTTTATAGAGGCTGGCATCCTTGACTAGTGCTTGCATACAGTGTGGTAGTTCTTGAACCTCTCCACCCACCCTGCATGTCTTTTCATGATCTTGGCTCAGATTTGAATCCCTGCCTTATAAGTTACTATTTGCTTTTGTTATATATGTCCAAGGATGTGAAAATCACCACCCTTCGATGGCTGGTGTTCTTGTCATTTCAGGTTTTGGCATTTCAGGTTAACTAATGATTGTGAGTCTTTTTCTCCTCTCTGGCAATGATGTTTCTGTAATTGATTATTATTTTTATAATGGTTATTTTGAATTTCCAGTCATACTTCACATGTGATCCTATTAAATTTCCTATTACTAGGTTTTGAATATCAGAAGATATTCAATATAAATATCTTTAATTTTCAATTTGCCTGCTACTTCTCTGAATGGAGTCAAATTGAATACCCTGGCACCTAAATTTTGTTACCTATTTTCCAGGTACTATTTATTAATTCCCTGTTAACTGGTGTTAGTATTTAGGGATTTTGTAACGGCCGGGAGGCTATTCTGATTAAAATCGACTCTTAAATCTCTGTTATTATATAGGTGTAATGCATCAAGTAAAACACTTAGCAGAATCCGAGTCTTTGTTGACAAGTCCACCAAAGGCATGTACGAATGGGTCAGGATCCTTGGGGTCCACAACGTCTGTCAATAGTGGAACAGCCACAGCTGCCACTAATGCCTCGGCTGACTTGGGATCCCCCAGCTTGCAGCACAGCAGAGATGATTCCTTAGATCTGAGCCCTCAAGGGTAAGTCAGAGTTTTGTGGTGATTTTTGTGCCCTTTGTGTTTAACTTTGCCTGAGGCTCACACAGGGAATAAAATGGTAAAATAAAATATTAGCAAAAGTGTACATTTACTATTTTCCCATCTGTATTTTGTTAGCTGTTTAATGAGAATGGGGAGAAAACTGGACATTTATTGGAAACCTGCTGTTCTGAGCCATGTTTAGGGGCCATAAAAGATACATGGTATTTCTATTGACATACAAGGGAATCAAGGCTCAGAGAAGTTAAATGACTTGCAGTGTGTCACACTTATTTTTACAGATGCAGGATTTGAGCTCTCATTTCTGATTCCATAATCTTGTGATTATTTACCATTTTTCAGATACAAACCAACTTCAAGACATCCAGATACAGATATAGTGAAAAATGTTAAAAATTAGAATTTTTAGAATCTTAAGAGAAAAACCTGATTTCCCATTTAATTGGCAAATGGGAATTTACTTTGCCGTTAATAAAGAAAAACCAGAATTCTTAAAGACGGTTCTCTACTTCCACCTCTATCTATTTATAATCCTTTTGTTGTACTGTGCTACAGAGAACATTACCAAACCCTCTTACTGGTTTTCATTTCGTTGTGTTGAAACAAGTCATACTCTAAATGTTTTTACTTCTGATACTAGAAACTTAGTATTGCTCTATGAATGGTGCATGATGAAACAAATTTAGTTCTGAAATTCAGAATGAATGTACTCAATGTAATACTCCTTTTACAACTTTAAAGGCAAAGTGGATCTTGGTAAGACATAATAGTTAAGTGGGGTCCAAAACATTTTAATCTTGTGAATGACAATGTAGTATTGTCCTATGTAGCTTGCCAGCTCAGGATTCTAGCTGCTTTTGGTGCCACCTGGTGGCAGTTATCCGCTTTAGCTTTAATACGAATTTTGGCAATTCTAAGACTTAGGGCAACAGACTGGGCCTTCTCATGCAGTTGCTGTTAATTTAGGAAGCTGCTGAGTTTAGGTGGTACCCATGTCATAGGCACAGTCCAAGGAAATTGGGCCTTGACAATACCGGGAACTCTCCACCTTCCCTGTACAAGTTGGATTTGTGTGCTATTTTCCCCCCCCGCCTTGCCTGCCTCTCTACTTCCTTCCCTAACTGCGGTTTTACTATTGAGCATAGGGCCTGAGATACCGTATGTGTTTGGTGAAATGTGAGGCAGCATATTTTTGGGCCACTTCAGGTTAAGGACTTAGACTTAATTCTAGGTTCTAACAGTTATAAGGAAAGAACCTTTATTTTAAAATACTTAAGAGAATTTTAAGTGGTTCCATTCCATTCTAATATAGTTTCAAATGATAAGTTCATACAAACTTGTAAAGGAATTGTTCAGTCACATTTGAGTTTATTCTTTGAATGTTCACTTGTCCTGATTATCAAGCGTACTTGAATACATTATTGTTTTCAATAAACATATCAGGTACTAGGAGATTAAAAATTTTTTTTTTCAATTTCTTTTTCCTTGTTTGGGTCACGGACCAACTACATTTTTTTCATCTTTTCCATCTTACATAGTTTTGTTATTCTGAGAATCTGTTTTTGTCTCTAGTGTTCTTAACAATAGTGAAACTAACACAGAAAGGCTTTGTATGTTTTATTTTATAAATTCTAATTCAAGATGGGTTATTTAAACTCTCACTAGCTAAATTTGTTCATAGGTAATTTTGGGTTTTAAAAAAATTTATCACTAAATTGTAAGTATGCTGATTTAGGATGGCACTGCCATTGCATATCATGAAATTACTTTGGGTAGTATTGGAAAGTATTTTGATAATAATACTAACTCTCTATACCATGTACATTTTACTTGTCATTTAAGCTAGTGAAGAAATATGGTATGTAGATATAGAATAATCTTTTTCTAATTTGTGATCACACAGTTCTTTTTAATGTTGGTTCTTTATGTTGTATAATTTGTTTTATGCACTTTATGTACTACATTTTATAATAGTTTAACACAGGGTTAATCAGATACTCTGATTTTACTTTCAATAGTTCAGTATAGCGAAACAGCCATTTTCTGAATTAGTCGTTTTCTCTGTACACATCTAGAACCATGACAGGTGCACAGTAGACATTAATCACTAAATGAAAAATACCATGTTACAGCAATATTTTATAACTCATTGTTTCTGCTATTTTAGCTTGATTTTCAATGAGTGATGATAATCATGGTAATTGCTAAACTTATCCATATTTTCCCATGTGATAGTCGGTTAAGTGATGTTCTAAAGAGAAAACGACTGCCAAAACGAGGGCCAAGAAGGCCAAAGTATTCACCTCCAAGAGATGATGACAAAGTAGACAATCAAGGTAATTCTTCTGATGGAACTGGGGGAGGTAAATGGAAAGATGAAAGCAGGTAAAAGTATGTACTTCATTAAAACTGCTGATGCCTTTGAAGTACTCCTGAGTTTCCTCAATACCCAGGGTTCCCAGTTCTTTCAGCTAATTAATCTATTGAGAATGCGAATCTTAAAATTCATTTGGTTTTCATCAATTATGCTAAAATGAATTTAACTGTCATTCTCTTTTCATAGCTAAAAGCCCCACCACTACTCAGTCACCTAAATCTTCTTTCCTGGCAAGCTTGAATCCCAAAACATGGGGAAGGCTGAGTGCGCAGTCCAATAGCAACAACATTGAACCGGCACGAACCGCAGGAGTCAGTGGTCTTGCCAGGGCTGCCTCCAAGGACACCATCTCCAATAACAGGCAAAGCGGGGCATTTCTGTATTACTTACTTTCTCAGATTAGAAAAACTTGACTTTGTTTCAGTAAGCACATTTTTCTTATGGAGGTGAGACGTGAACGCAGAGCTTTATGCTTGAAGTGGCATTGCTCAAGGTTGGAGTAGATTGTCAGTTCTTAAACTCTGTGTTCAGCTTTATCCTAATTAAGTTCCAGTCTTAAACTTTAAAATTCCTTTTGGCTTCGTTAGCTGGGAATTGTGTATATTCAAAACCAAACAAGTTAATGTTCACCATGGGACGTGTACCTTAGTGTTGTTCTAAACGAGAGAAAGCTGGTATCTTGTCTGTCTGCCTACCCACTCACCCTACTCACTCTCAGTGATACCCCTCCTCTATCTTTATAACTGAACCCAAAGATCTTAAAGTAGAGCCTTGTGTTTTTTAAGAAGCATAGCTAAAGCGTTTCATACCAGTTTATGGCTTTTAAACATAATTTCTCCAAAATCCTTAAATTGTTTTTATAGGCTCTGGATGTAGCATATTAGTAAGGGTTACTTTGTTTTCAAATTAGATCTTTTTAAAATGCCATTGGGAAAACAAGCTCTTTTTGGTTGGTTGATTGGTTTGGTTGTTGTTGGTTTTTCCGAATTTAAGTTAAAAATAATTAAGCAAATGTATTTCTGAAGCCATCAGAATATATAATTTAAATAGCTGGCTTTCAGTTGTAGGGGTCCTGCACCTAACAGGTGCATGTTTCTGGTCTGTGATTCTTTACTTCAGCTCTTCTGGGAGCACAAGTAAAGGATAATAATTGCTTTCAGGTGGACTGATAGGAAACTGTTACACTGTAGAGCTCCAAGAAGTTAGACTTGATGTTTTACTGTTCATGTAGTGAATGACCTGAAATGATTTTAAGTAGCTGTATGTGACTCTAGGTGCATCTTAGTCCATTTTCAAAATGAAACTTAATTTGATTGATGTGGAAACTGAATTTATTATAAAAAGCATAGGCCAGAAAGGGTTTTTAATATATCAGCTATTGCCTTTGTTTAGAGCTTAAAATTTAAATCCTTTCTAGGTACATTGAGGCTTTACTATCTCCTTTTTCCTCCTTTCAGAGAAAAAATTAAAGGTTGGATTAAGGAGCAGGCACATAAATTCGTCGAGCGTTATTTCAGTTCTGAGAACATGGACGGAAGCAACCCTGCGCTGAATGTCCTTCAGAGACTTTGTGCTGCAACTGAACAACTCAACCTCCAGGTACTGTGTCCCATGCAGCTTGCTGGTTCTTTCCAGTTTCTTCTGGAATCTCTTGCTGTTCCTTTCCTTGGTGACTCTCTGGCTTTCCATGGACTTACCTATCATAGGTCAGCTTTTTAGCCAGACAGGTACCTTAGGCATCAACATTTCAACGGTCCCTTGACTTGGATACTCCATCATTTATCACTAAATGAACCTATGACTCTCATCTTTGACTTGGTTCCCTTCACATCCTGTTTTTCTTGACAAAGAGAGACATCAGAAATGTCCCTCAGCACATCTCCTCTTTAACTACAGCTACTAGAGTTGGTAGGGACCCTCCTTAATCCCTCTCCTCCTGGGGTCTTGGGGAGGTAGAAGTTTGTTAAACCTTCTGTATGTATTTCATTTGATTCCTAGTCTTTCTGTATTTTTTATGTACATTGAGTGATTTGAGTAACACATGGTTTTGAAGAAATTGTCCATTCCACTCAGATTTTAAATGTATTAATATATAGCCATACCTGATACTCTTGTATATCTTTTCATTTTGGTATTACAGCTCTTTTGTCTTTTTTTTAAATTCATTTGTCAGTTATAAAATTTTTCTTTTTTATGTTAGTATGGACTTTGGTTTTCTGTCATGAAATATTAACATTTTGTGAGAGAAAGGGGGAGAGAGTGTATGTATGTGTAGGTAAGATCACAATTTCTAAGAAACTGTCAAGAATATATCACCCCTTCCTCCTGCTGCTGCCCCCACCCCCACCCCACAGCCTACCTGCCTTCTATTCTTAAAAGATGTTGGAAATGTATTCATTTCCTTTCGAGGAACTGGGATTGTAGAGTTAGTAAGGACTGTTTAAATCAATATAGAAATACTGTTCCTAACTCTTTCAGGTGGATGGTGGAGCTGAGTGCCTTGTAGAAATCCGTAGCATAGTCTCAGAGTCAGATGTTTCATCATTTGAAATCCAGCATAGTGGATTTGTGAAGCAGCTGTTGCTTTATTTGACATCTAAAAGTGAAAAGGATGCTGTGAGCAGAGAGATCAGATTAAAGAGATTCCTTCATGTATTTTTTTCTTCTCCAGTAAGTTATCCAATGTTTGCATATCTTACTATAAGAATCATTGCTTGCTAATGTGTGTATTTTCATCCCAGTAGTAATTTCCTGTAGGTGTGAAGATAGCAAGCTAGAAACTTCACCTTAGCAGTAAACAAATTGGATTCCTTCATCTTTTCTGTATCAAGTAAACAGTAAAACAACAACATGGTGATTTAATGAAGCAAATGCCACAGTTTCTATAGTCTGTTATCTTGGGTCTTTGTGTTTTCCTTATGACAAGCCATTAATAGAGTCTCTTGTGAATGTGTCTTATACTCAGTATGCTTTTGTACATAGTGTAGTTTGCAATACATTTCTTAAGGGAAATATGGGTGACATAATGTAGCTAATGACATAAGGTAGAGTAGACATAACATTTCCATTTTGTATATAAAACATAGCGCTAACAATTCCATTTAAGAGAACTCAGTCACCATTTACAATGTGGATTACAGGAGCAGAATCCCAGAATGGCTCCCCTTCCTTTGCCCTTAGTAGGTGAGGGCAAGAAAGTAACTAACTAGTTTTGGACATACTGACTCAACACCATCATACTCGTTTCCAGCTGTTCAAGAGATAGCATCCCTTCGGAAGCTTCTCTCTGGATCATCAGTGTAATTAGAGATTCATAAGATGGGCAGCAGTATTGGCCATAGTTTTATACCATGCTTAAGATAAAGTATAGGCCTGTAATCCCTTATTTGAAATTCCTTAGGACTGAATGGGTTTTTAAGAGTTCTACAATACAGTATACGCACCACATATGACCTGATATCCCCAGCGGATTCTAAATAGCACTCCATACACATGAAATGTTTTTGCAGCAAAATATATGAATATTCCTACTAAATATAGGTAAATAAATACTGCAAATAGCCTTATGTCTATAGGTAAGATCACAATTTCTAAGAAACTGTCAAGAATATATCACCCCTTCCTCCTGCTGCTGCCCCCACCCCCACCCCACAGCCTACCTGCCTTCTATTCTTAAAAGATGTTGGAAATGTATTCATTTCCTTTCGAGGAACTGGGATTGTAGAGTTAGTAAGGACTGTTTAAATCAATATAGAAATACTGTTCCTAACTCTTTCAGGTGGATGGTGGAGCTGAGTGCCTTGTAGAAATCCGTAGCATAGTCTCAGAGTCAGATGTTTCATCATTTGAAATCCAGCATAGTGGATTTGTGAAGCAGCTGTTGCTTTATTTGACATCTAAAAGTGAAAAGGATGCTGTGAGCAGAGAGATCAGATTAAAGAGATTCCTTCATGTATTTTTTTCTTCTCCAGTAAGTTATCCAATGTTTGCATATCTTACTATAAGAATCATTGCTTGCTAATGTGTGTATTTTCATCCCAGTAGTAATTTCCTGTAGGTGTGAAGATAGCAAGCTAGAAACTTCACCTTAGCAGTAAACAAATTGGATTCCTTCATCTTTTCTGTATCAAGTAAACAGTAAAACAACAACATGGTGATTTAATGAAGCAAATGCCACAGTTTCTATAGTCTGTTATCTTGGGTCTTTGTGTTTTCCTTATGACAAGCCATTAATAGAGTCTCTTGTGAATGTGTCTTATACTCAGTATGCTTTTGTACATAGTGTAGTTTGCAATACATTTCTTAAGGGAAATATGGGTGACATAATGTAGCTAATGACATAAGGTAGAGTAGACATAACATTTCCATTTTGTATATAAAACATAGCGCTAACAATTCCATTTAAGAGAACTCAGTCACCATTTACAATGTGGATTACAGGAGCAGAATCCCAGAATGGCTCCCCTTCCTTTGCCCTTAGTAGGTGAGGGCAAGAAAGTAACTAACTAGTTTTGGACATACTGACTCAACACCATCATACTCGTTTCCAGCTGTTCAAGAGATAGCATCCCTTCGGAAGCTTCTCTCTGGATCATCAGTGTAATTAGAGATTCATAAGATGGGCAGCAGTATTGGCCATAGTTTTATACCATGCTTAAGATAAAGTATAGGCCTGTAATCCCTTATTTGAAATTCCTTAGGACTGAATGGGTTTTTAAGAGTTCTACAATACAGTATACGCACCACATATGACCTGATATCCCCAGCGGATTCTAAATAGCACTCCATACACATGAAATGTTTTTGCAGCAAAATATATGAATATTCCTACTAAATATAGGTAAATAAATACTGCAAATAGCCTTATGTCTATCTGAGTCAAATTTTGCCACCAAATGATTTGTGTGTTTGTTTATGAATATGGGATTGTGGGCCTGTAAAAAAAAAATGTCTTTATTGAAGTAATTTATTTGGAAAACTTGTTCCAAGAAATCCATCGAAAAGAGAAAAGAAAATAGATGAACAATTCTCTTGTAAAACTGCCTATTAAATTGTCTTGTTGAAGAGTGATCCATTTTTAAGAGGCCTTGCTTAACCTGTTGGTTTATTAATAACTTTAGCTTCCTGGAGAAGAGCCCATTGGAAGAGTGGAACCAGTGGGTAATGCACCTTTGTTGGCGTTAGTTCACAAGATGAACAACTGCCTCAGCCAAATGGAACAATTTCCAGTCAAAGTGCATGACTTCCCCAGTGGAAATGGGACAGGAGGCAGGTAAGGATCATTGCCTGGGTATGCCCTTGCCATTGGACTTGGTGCTTGCTTTTGTGGAGAGTGGAAAGAGGTCTGGAAACACTGTCATGTGCCTGAAGAACATTCCAGCTGTAATGAGTGAAGAAATTGAATACTCTAAAAAGTGAATAATATACTTTGTATCTTTTTAATCATCATGTGTCTTAAACATGATGTTTTGGAAATAAACCATTGACTCTGTTGGCAAGTTCTAATAGGCTTAGTTTTCCTTAAATTGACAAACTTAATATATAAAGCGTTTCTTCAAAATCTTTGCATTCTGCGAAATAAGGTGATTTCATATGTGATGTAAGTGGTTATAACACTTTGTATTTTGATGGGTTTTAAGAAACATTTATTTTGGAGTTTTACTGTTCAATAAAACTTTGTTTTTTCCCCATAATGTAGTTCTAAAAACATTTAAAATTTTGATTGGATTAAAAATAAAGCATTATTGGCTAGATAAAGCAATTGGTATGGACTAGGATTTTTTCTGCTTTTAAATTTAATGTAGAGTGTGGTATTCAGTTTTGATCATTATACTGTCCTGGAATTTTTTCCGAAATAAGGGGACATTTTCAGTTGTGCTTGAGAGAACAATGAAGTTTTTTCACTTTCATTGAAATTTGTATAAAGTACGTGTTTACATTTGTTGTATATATCAGTATAATGGAATATTCTTTACTATTTCCCTATTTCCCAGTGGAACCTTACAGATTAACTGTGTTTTGAGCTTGTTTTTATCTTACTCTCCAGCCCTTCTCAGAAATGAGCAGTTAAATATTACTAGATTTAGACTGGTGTAGCTGTTAAACTGCTTCATTCAAAAGAATATAGTAAAGTAAAATCTTAAGGTTGATTTTTAAAGTAGATTTGTAGCTGAAATCTTATTAAAGCAAAAAATAAAGTTTTTTTGTTTTTAAAAAGAATTTAGGCAATGGCAAAATATTGTAGAAGTGAGCATGCTCACATAGTTGAGGAATTTTTATTTCAGGGAAATAATTAAATCTCAATGGTGAAGTATCTTTGCTCAGGTGAATTCATGGTGGGAGATTGAATGTTGGTTTATTGTTTTTCTTACGCATGTGTTCACACCCTCTTATTTCCTATTTTAGTAAACTTTTATCCTATTTTAGATAACTTTTACTAAATACCTTGAATTGTTGTCTTTGCCATTTATATCACCAGTAAGTGCATGCTTGCTTTGTGCCTTAAGTGCAGTTTGTATTATGTTGCTTTTTGAATTAATTGTGTTGGTTTTGAAAATAATAGAATAACTTTTTTTTCACAAATTATCTTGAGCTTTTCTCTCAACAGAGGATCACAGGCTTTAAAATTTTTCAACACACATCAGTTAAAATGCCAGTTACAAAGACATCCAGACTGTGCAAATGTGAAGCAGTGGAAGGGAGGACCTGTCAAGATTGATCCTTTAGCTTTGGTACAAGCTATTGAGAGATACCTTGTGGTTAGAGGTACTTTACATATATGAATATCGTGTATTTTTGTGTGCATTTGGGGTGAAATTAGTATTAAGAGCTATATAAATCACTTACCCATTGCCACTTCTGTTAAGACCTAGCATCAGTACCTTGTGTTGACATCATTATATTATTAGTAGCATGTAGAAGTATGTTAAACTTTGTAGGGATTGACTGCTTACTTGGATGGGAATGTAGTAGAAATGACATTTTGTGTTTGACAGTTTTCTTAGATCATCTATCTGCTTCATAGATCAAAGTGTAATTATTTATGTTTTTCTGGGAATATACTGGTTTAGCCAGTATATGCAGGCTTTTCTTTGCCATGTGGAATTGCTAGGAGTTTTAACAGCCTTCTTGGGCCCTTAGGGTATGGAAGAGTGAGAGAAGATGATGAAGACAGTGATGATGATGGCTCTGATGAGGAAATCGACGAGTCTCTGGTAAGATGCTGTTCCTACCATGTTGTAATGGAGGAAGTTCAGGGCCTAAAGCTTAATTGGGTTTTGTTCTCCTTTATTCAGGCTGCTCAGTTCTTAAATTCAGGAAATGTAAGACACAGGCTGCAGTTTTACATCGGAGAACATTTGCTGCCATATAACATGACTGTGTACCAGGCAGTGCGACAGTTCAGTATACAGGCTGAAGATGAAAGGGAGTCCACAGATGATGAGAGCAATCCTCTAGGAAGAGCTGGTATTTGGACGAAGACTCATACAATATGGCAAGTCTGAAAATGATTTTGTTTGGTTTTTCATCAACTTCAATACTGTCCATGTGTTCTGGAATTCATGTTAAGTGCTGGCTCGCATAAGGAGAGGGGACCCTAAACCCTAAGACAAAAATGTCTCCATAACATGATGGTTCCTTTAGGTAACAGGACGTTTTTAATCTCTCAGCCCTTAGAGGCATTTGGGTGCAGCTTCCTGCAGTGTTTGTGAATGTCTGCTACTTAGCTGGAAGGAAGAGAACTGACCTTTTCAGAACCTCCCCTGGAGTTTCAGGTGGCCCCCTCCCAGGATGGCGGTCTTCCTGCATTCTCTTATAGGAAGCAGTGCTGTTGGTAATCTCCAAATCTGTATGTAGGGAGAGAGGATAGACTTCGTAGAGTTCTTCTGGTAATTTTGTGGTGTCTGTGGCTTTCACTTTGGTGTCATCGAATAATTTGCAGTTTTAAAATCTAACTTTGGTTTACATACTCTCCTATCACTTTAGGTACAAACCAGTGAGAGAGGATGAAGAAAGTAGTAAAGATTGTGTTGGTGGTAAAAGAGGAAGAGCCCAAACAGCTCCAACAAAAACTTCTCCTAGAAATGCAAAAAAGCACGATGAGTTATGGCACGGTAAGCTGACATATTCAGGGGAAAACAGACCGCCGCGGGGCAGTACTCTTTACCCTCAAGGTTTTAAAGGAGTGCTTTATATCTAGTAGTAAAGTCTTTCAATATAATTTACAAAAAATGAAATAACCACAGATGATTGCTTTTTATCAAACCCTTCACTTTAGTGTCTGAAAAATGAAAAATTAAGTATCTGCAAAATTAAATTTGGGAAGAAAGTTGGGGAAAATGCTTAGATTCTTTTCCATGAAAAATTCATGTTTTTCATGAAGGCTATAAAACAAGTTTTATTAATAGAAGACATTCATTAAAGAAGAACCTTGTTGTTAGTGAGTTGACCCTCAATTTTTATTGTTTTCATTAATAATAATATAATTTAGCAATTATAGGAGGAATTAAAAGTTTGCCAGGTAATAATGACTACAGAATGTAGTAGTGCCTCCCACCTGACCTGTTTTCCTTCGTAGTATCCTTCCAGTATGACTTTGTTCATTTCCTCCTCTCTTTAATGTACTAGTAAAAATGCTTGGCATTAGATCTTACTACGTTGATGGACAGTGACTGTAATGCGGTATGTGGGGGGCACTTGATAATAGGGGGAGTCTATGGTACATTAATGATATTAAAAAAAATGCTTGGCATTAGGCTGCAGCATCATTCCGTACAGAACTGGGAACTACCCCCATCAGGGATTTCCAAACACTGATGTCAGGTGAAGGAATTTTCCCTGGCCCACAGAAGGAAGGGCATTATGGCAATTTTTTTTCCATAAAGCTAAATTTATTCTATTTAAAAGGGTCCTTATTGGGATTTTCTGTTTTTGGTGTTAATTGCCCTTCTATGCAGTAATAGTGCTGTGATTTCTAATTGTTTTTCTTGTTAAAAGTAAATGGTAATAGTATCAATCCCTCACTTAAAAAAAAAAAAAGAAATGCTATTAGGAAAATCTTAAGAGAAAGGAACCACAGATCCTACTTGGAAATGTCAACAGTCTATGCTGCCCTAAGCCTTGGAATATATAATATAATCTCTCTAAATCAGATTTATAAAAATCAGAGTATTTGTCATTTTATATGAGCATTTTAGGCTGGATATAAAAAAATCCAGGAAATTTCTGTAATAGTGAACTTAAATGTTTCGTCTTTATTCTTCTCTAACCATTTTGTTAGCTGTTGTTTTTGTTTTAAAGGAGAAATGCAAATGAGTTAGTTTTTATCCTTTATAATAGTTAATTGGGTAGAGGAGGAAAATTGAAATTTTCATAAGCTTAAATGACTTATGTATAAGATAAAAAGATGTTCAAGCTGTCAGTACTCTACTAACAAGTTACCAAGCATTAAGTCTTAACTTATGGTTACTATTTTAGCTTCGATGATACGACACTTCACTGGCTTTGTTCAAAATTTAACTTTGATCTTTGCTTTCTAGATGGAGTGTGTCCCTCAGTATCAAATCCTTTAGAGGTTTACCTCATACCTACACCACCGGAAAATATAACTTTTGAAGACCCATCATTAGATGTGATTCTTCTTTTAAGAGTTTTGCATGCCATCAGTCGATACTGGTATTACTTGTATGATGTGAGTAATGTTCCCTACTTGTGAGGATTTCCGTATGACATATACTATAGTGTATATCTAGGGATTGATGAATTTCCTGTTTTACTAGAAACAGAAACACTGATTCAGTGAAATCCAGGGACCCGAAGCCCAGTGAAGTACAATGTATTAGTGGGAACCTCTCACCCAGTTTTTTTCCTGACCTACGTTCTTGAATTAGTTTTCTCTGTCAGACTTGTAAAATTTTCTCTATCTGAAAATTTATTAAATGACTATTGAATGTGAATTTAAAAGTTAAAATTTTTAAGGTATATTTAATCAAAAGTTCATTTATCTAAGTTATGATACAAAATAAAATGTTGGGTGAAAGGTGAATGCTGCCTTTGATATTTATGTAATGTAGGGAAGAATGGAGAAATTGGAGTTGGCCTTATGGAAAACATAAGCTGCCACATCAACGGTGAATTTTGTACCAGTGGCCCCATGGGGGTGTTGGGGTGTCCTACTCTACATCACACAGATTATCATTTAGTTTGGGAGGCACCAGTGGGAGCTGCATTTTTATGTTGGAAACCACGGGAAATCTAGGCACTCTGCATATGTATCTGGGAATAAAGGAAGAGATAGTGAATATAAGCTAGATGTTTTACTACATGTAGACTTCTATTTTTTTCCTTTTTTAAAAATACTTTACAGAATGCAGTGTGCAAGGAGATTATTCCAACTGGTGAATTTATTAACAGTAAGTTGACAGCAAAAGCAAATAGGCAGCTTCAAGATCCGTTAGTAATCATGACAGGAAACATCCCAACGTGGCTTACTGAGCTGGGAAAAACCTGGTAAGACAGTTACTTCTGTAGTGCTGGCCTTGGAAGCATGAGCATTGTGATAATCTTTATATGTTTTGTTACAATAATCTAGTCTTCAGTGAATCTGTTTAAATGTGTATAGTAATATTGCCATGTTTGATCACAGCTTGCTTAATGGTGTGGCTTTATCATGCAAACAGACTGGGCAAACGGGCTGGTACTGGCTCTACTTGATGGCATATATTATATATGTGAAACAGGGACATACACAAAGATATTTGAGGAGATTAAAATCCTCTGCCTTCATAATCTTGGACTCCAGAAGTGTAGTTGGTTAATTCTCTGAGCCTTTGGAGTCCAGATCTACATTCTCAGAGACTGTAGGAGTGCACCAGTCAATATAATAGTCAGTGTCACATGTGGCTATTCACATTTGCATCGATTAAGACTATGTAAAATTAGCAATGGAATGTTAGGCTTACCTCACTCTCACGTGGCTGCCTGCGCTCTGTGGAATAGACATTGGACATTCGGATCAACACAGGACGTGCTTTTAGCAGCTCTGTGTCAAGAGCTACCAAAATTGTACCTCCAGAGGCAGTAAGGTTTATGCTTCCGGTTACTGCAGGGTTCATTTTTTTGAAATGAGCAGCTTCCTTTTGGCAGGTTTACGTGACTTTTAGAAGTGCCAAAGCTGGCAGGAAAATCATGAACCAGTAAAGCCATTAATTCTGTTATCATGGTATCATGAAGTGTCATGACTGACTTTAAAATTTAGCCTTTGCTAATCATGTTATACTTCCTAAAGGTCTTTGGGTAGATTAAAAATTATCTTGGATGGACTTGGTTAAAGTGTAGGATTTTAATAGTTGAATTTCATATTTCACAGTGGGAAACTACTTAATGCATTATAACTTGATCACTTAGAGTTTTCATACACAAATTATGGAAATTCCTCAAAATTAGTTTGCCTAGACCATTTTTATTGGTTACATTTGTAATTAGTATTCTGTATCATATCAAAAGTCATTTCTAATACAGGGTTTTTTATAGTTTGTTATTCTAACTCAGATAATAAATTTGTATCACATCTTTTTACAGCCCATTTTTCTTCCCTTTTGATACCCGGCAAATGCTTTTCTATGTAACTGCATTTGATCGGGACCGAGCAATGCAAAGGTTACTTGATACCAACCCAGAAATCAACCAGTCTGATTCTCAAGATAGCAGAGTTGCACCTAGATTGGATAGAAAAAAAGTAAGTTTCTCCCAAAAATATTTAAAGATAAATCAAACTGAGCTTTTCAAAATAATGGAAAAACTAGAAATGAGGTGCATCTTGGTATGCCAGTTGGTTTAGAGTCCTATCTTAGTTATAGCCATCTCTTTGCTATCTTTTTTTTTAATCATCTGTGTTAGCCATATTTTCCTGTCAATCTCTTAGAACTGGGCTGGCTGTGATTTCTTATTCTTCCTCTAGAAAGAGTCCTTTTTCCCAGTTTTTGAAATAATTTCTACAATCCTTTTTTTTTCTGTAACACTTGTGCTAGAAAAATCTTGTCTTCTCTTACCAAGGCATTTCTAAGTTAGGCACTCAAAAAACTGTAGCCTCACTTTTATAATTGATCCCTTAAGCAGTAGGTGGAATTAATCAGATCCACTTTATTCCCTTAGCAAATCACTCCAGTCAAAACGACTGAAACAAAATCCTTGAAGTGTTTCATGTCGCTAGACCAGTCAGCCCCTGCTGCTGACTTACCCTCTGTGCTCCGAATTCTTGCCCCCACATTCACAGCTGTCAGCCACACTGTTCTATCCTTCTGACACTCCACTGCTTTTTACTTAGGCCTTCTCTTTTTACCTTCCCCTTTCTTGCTGAGGATTTTTACTCATTCCTGTCATCCTGAAACCTTTATCTCCAAGTCTTTTCAGAGCCATTAATGACATAAAAAGGGATAGAAGGAATGAGAAGTAAAAAAACAACAACACTGTACTTATGAAAAAAGGAATAAAGGAAGCCTTGTTAGTCTTACCTGTATTTGTATCATTAAGATTCCATAGACAGAGATAACAGGAGGTGTTGGTAGAATTGAAAATGTAACAGGACCTTTCTCATCCCTATGAATCTCATTAGAGACCTTTGCTGTAGTGCTTGTAGGGTCTCTGCAGCTCAGAGTCCATAGGTTTCAGCTCACCCCTCTCACCTGCCACCCCCATATCTACTTCTCCACTATTTAACCCTTAGGTGTACCCAGGGAGATTTCATGAAGCTGCAGCCCTGAATTTCATTAATGTTTGTCAAAGTTACAGAGATTGATTCTTCTCCATCTTGAATTTTCTGAATTTGCCATGGGCTCAAGATAAAAGTCACACTTAACCATGTATGCCAGGATGCTGTATTTGTCACAATGCAGCTATTTATTAACCTTTTCTGAGGTATTCTTTTAAAGAAGTACTTTTATAACAGTTGAATTTTTATTTCTTTTGCACTTAGAAATGCCACCTATTTATTTAAGTGTCATGTGAGCATAGTTTCCTCACAGTTGTGCTTTGTCTTGTTAGCGTACTGTGAACAGAGAGGAGCTGCTCAAACAAGCGGAGTCTGTGATGCAGGATCTTGGCAGCTCTCGGGCCATGTTAGAAATCCAGTATGAAAATGAGGTGAGCTGCTGAGTCTGTTGATGGTTTTTAGCTTGGCGTGTGCCTTTGGTAAGATGTTGGTAGAATTTATTCTCCCTATGAAATTCTAAAAGGCAACTGGAAACTTTCTCTAAAAATTTGAGATATGCTCTGTTTTCCTTTGAATCATCTAAGTTCTTCGTTGTTCAAGGTTAAACTGTATGAAAAAAGACAGTTTTCCTTTTCTGGCATAAGAGCAAATGTTTGTGTAACCTTTAGGTTGGTAAAGTGAGAGGATGTTCTAAGCATGTCTTTCAGAATGTTTGAAATGCTTTTTTAAAAATTAGGCTTGCTGATTACATAATAAACTCATACTTCTAAGATGTACAGTTCTAAGAATTGACAAATGTATGCAGTCTGTAATCAATGCCACATCAAAATGAAGAAAAACATACCATCGCCCCAAAATATTCTCTTAGAACTTTTTGTCAGTCTCCACCTTCCCCCCAGTCCCTCGCAGTCATTGGTCTGTTTCCTGTCCATATAGTTCTGTTCTTTGTACAATATCATAATAAATGGGATTATATAGTATAGAGCCATTTGTGTTACTCCGTCACTTAGTATAGTGCTTTTGAGATTCATCTGTATTAAATGTATCATTTCATTACTTTTATTTTTATTACTGAATAATAGAGTCTGTGATACGGCTATACCATGGTAGGTTTATCTCACCACCAGTTAATGTATACTTGAGTTACTCTCCAGTTTTTGGGTGTTATGAATAGTGATGTAGTGAACATTAGTGAGCAAGTCTTTGTGTAAATGTGTTTTTATTTTCTTGGGTAAATACTTAGGGTTGAATTGCTAAGTCACTTAGCTATATTTTAACATTACATGGAATACCAAATGGGTTCCAAAGTCACTGTCCCATTTTACATTCCCATTAGTGATGCAGTATGAATTTCAGTTTTTTTCATATGTTCAACAGTACTTAGTTACTATAAGTCTCTTTTAGTTTTTTTCTAGTGGATTTATAGTGGTATCTCATTGATTCTTTTCCCTATCAGAGAAGTGCAAATAAACACAGAACATCATAATTGTAGATCATTCATATATCTTTCTTGGAGACCTGTCCAAGGATTCTACTCCTTCTTTGGGCCATTTTGTTTTATCATTGAGTTGTTAACGTTCTTCACATAGTCTGGATCGAAGTCCTTTATGAGATAAATAAATGTTTATTAAATACTTTCCTCCAGTCTGATTTATCTTTTCATTACATTATAAAATGTCTTTTGAATAGAAGTTTTAAATTTTTGTAAAATCCAATTGTTTTTTCTTGTTTGTGATTTCTGTATCCCAAGAATTTTTTTCTAACCCAAAAGTCTCAAGATTTTCTCCTGTGTGTTTTTCTAGAAGTTTTACAGTTTTAGCTCTTACATTTAGACCTATGATCCGTTTTGAGTTAATTTTTACGTATGGTGTAAAAGTAAGGGCAAAGGTCCTTTTTTTCCCTAAACATGAGCTCTTCAGTTTATTTGAAAATACCAACTTTCCCCATTGAACTGAAGTATATTATTAACCTTTGTTGAAAATCATGTGATAATGACTATTAGGATCTCTTTCTGGATTTTTTGTTCTTTTTTGTTAATCTACACTATGTTGAAAACTGTATATTTATTATAGTCAGTGTTAAAATCAGTGTGAGTTCTCCGACTTGGTTTTTCTTTTTCTGAGTTGTTTTGGTTATTCTCAATCCTATTTCCCTATAAATTTTAGAATCAGCTTGTGAGTACAAAAAGTCCTCACAGCGTATTGATTAGGATTGTGTTGAATCTTTATCAGTTTGGGAGAAAATTTACATTTACAGTATTGAGTCTTCCAATTCATGAGCGCAATGTAGCCTTCCATTTATTGAGGTCTTTTATTTCTCTCAATATTGCTTTGTAACTTTAGTCTAAAGGTCTTTCACGTACATACTTTGTTAAATTTCTACCCAAATATTTCATGTTTTTCACTCTGTCCTCCCATTTTAATTTCTGTTTGCTTTTATGGAAATACAGTTGATTTTGGTATATTGATCTTATATTCTGTGACCTTGATAAACTTAATTAGTTCTAATAACTTTTCAACAGATTATTCAGGATTATTGGAGAAAGAGGGCTTGGGAAAACCTTTCTGTAAATATTTCAGGCTTTGTGGGCCAGAGCTATACAATCTCCATCACTGCTCTGTTTCACCTTTGTACAAGCATGACAGTGGCTGTAGACAGTATGTATATGAATGAGCATGGCTGTTCCTTTAGAACTTGATCATCACTGAAATTGGAGGTTCGTATAATTTTCTCACATTGTAAAATATTCAAGATTTTTTTCAGCCATTAGAATTGTAAAAATGATTCTTAAACACCATACAAGAATGGAGAAGGCTAGGGCTGTAGCTTGTCAACCCATTTTGTAGACTGTCATGTCATTTGTGAAAAAAGACAGCTTAGTTTTATGTTCTTTCTAATCTTCATCTTTTATTTCTTTTGAGAAGCTTTTAAACAGCTGGGATAGCATACCAGAAGATTCAAGTAATGACTTTCTGTGTGTATGAACTCTGAAGTTTTGAGTCTCTTGTGGATACTTTCCTTCCTCCTGCCCCTAATTTATTTTAAAACAAAACTTTGGAGTGTTTGGACTTCTGAAACTCCTATGGACATAAAATGTTCAAACCTCCTTTAATACTGATTGTAAGGGCTAATAACCACTCTAAACCACCCCCCCTCCAGTGTTCTTATCTATAAAATGTGGGTTAAGACTGTTGTGAGTTACGTCAAGTTGTGACTGTTTTGATTCATGTGAAGGGTTAGAACAATGCTTGGCTCATGGTAAGTACATGGTAATATCCACAATCTTAGCTATAGTTATCCAAGTAATCTTAATTGACTGATTTTTCATCATTTCTTAAACATTTTCTCATCATTAAGACTTGAACAGTTAACAGAGTTAAGAGTCAACTTAATTCAGTCATCAAAATTAAATTTTTAAGTAGTTGTGTACTGAGAGGTGTATGGCATGTCAGGGATCCAGGTTATGACAGAGTTCCTGCATTGAAAGGATTGCAACACAGCTGGGAAGACAGGACAAAGGTGCAAACAGGTGTTGCAAATGGGTGTCATAGGTACCAAGTGCATGAGGTTTTCAGACAAGGACGACTGTCCCGGGAGTGTGTGAGGGAAGCCATGAGGAGAAGTAAGACCTTAAGTTATACCTTAATGGAAGACAGAAGATTGAAGGGACCAATGGATGTGACTTGAGCAAAGGAATGGGCTTGGTGGTGAGTGGCAGAGTGAATGACTGCCCTGGAAGTGATGAGAGGGAGGGGAGGGGAAGGGGAGGCTTTGTCTGCTGGGGTAAGAAATTGGGTCTTCTTTTGACTCTACCCTGATCATGCCCTGTTACCCAGAGGATACAGTTCTTATATTTTGTATGCCCAAATTTCATTCATAAAATGGCAAGACCTTTGCTCTAGCCAACTTGGCCTGCTTAGTTTGTTTAAACATGCTTTCTACTTTTTTACTCCTCATTTTTTTTTTTGGCCAAGAATGTCTTTTCTCTCTTACCCTTCATGAGTCTGTTCAGAACACATCTTACATGGAACCTGAACAAGTTCAGAATAGCATCACACTGTTCTAAGGGTCAGGATTGACTTGCTGATACAGAAATCATGATTTTGTGATCTTCATCAATGGGTCTTAACCTATTGGACTCTGGAAAGGAGTCTAGGAACCAGCTTCACTGGGGAAAAGGGGTTTGGAGGAGTGCTTGCTTCATATATGCACATTGCGATCACATTGTAGATCACACTCGACCATACAAGGCAGCCGGTGGTCAGCAGGAAGACTTCTGACTAGCTCTGGAATCCCAACCCTAATGTCAGATCAGAACGGGCTCCATCTTGAGTAGGGATGATATCGGTAAGCCAGGGAAGAACTAAAGCTGTCTCTGGGCTCAGAATGTCACCCAGGCCAGGGATTGGGGCTGCCAGTGACCCAGCCTCCTGGATGGTGACAGGTTAAGAACCTGGAATGTCGCACCTGGTGCCACCACTTACTAGCTGTAAAGATAGTAAGTTAGGTAAACTCCTCAATGAGATCTCAACAAGGAGCATAAGAAACATACCTGCCTCATTGTTTGTTACAATGGTTTAATGAGCTAAAATGGGTAAAACACTTAGGATATTGTCACGTGGTGAGTGCTGATATATATAAATGTTATTTGAAAGAAATAGACTTTCAAAGTTTTAAGTTAGACAAGTTGTCAGGCTTTTTAGTGTTTCTGTGTTTTTGTTCCTGGAGCTTTATGCTTTCTTAAAAAACAAGAAACAAACCAAAGTACCTACCTTTTCTGTGGAGTGACTGGGTAGAGCAAAGATTCCTGAAAAGGTCAGATTGATCTGCAGGGCTGCTGGGTCAGCCCAAGGTAGGGGTGAATCGCCAGAGCAGACCGTACCTGGTCCTTCCACTCTCACAGACCCTTGGTATCACAGACACAGCAATAGCCGTGTCATTTAGTATTGTGAGTTAAGGCTGTTTTTACCTTTAGAAATAACAGTATTTGGACGAAGGCAGTAAATAGACTGATCTGACCTGTGATTTCTTATGTTGAAGGGAGAGAATTAACTGGTTTTCAAGCACCATCTGGTGGATACTGGATGTACTGCAGTTTTTTTCTTTTCTCAGCTGCTGTCTTTCCTCTCGTTCTTCTCCAGTGCCTGGGATTCAGTAGAGAACAGAATCTACAAAGTCCCTGCTGTCACTGATCTTTATTTTAGTTTGGGGAGGTCAGTACACATACACTTGTGCACATATATGTGTTAGGCTGCGTGATGAAGAAAAAACGAAGCAGAATAAGAAGATGGAGCATGATGTGGGGCGGGTGCCGATGGGGTAGTCTAAGGTGGTGGTTGAGCAGAGGTTGTCCTTAATCTCTGGGGAAAGAGTGTCCCTACCAGAGAAGAGAAGTGGAAGCCCTTAGGCAGCATTCCTGGCCTGTTGCAGATGACTGTGGCCAGAAGCGGTAGTCACGCAGGCTGGCTAAGAACTTGAGCTTTTGCTTTGAGTGCTGGGACACTGTTGGAGGGTGCAGAGGGGAGTGTTCACACGCATACTTTGTAAAGGTCACTCTTAAGAAAGCAGGAGAAGAGGATCTGGGGTTCTGAGAATGCTAGTGCAGAGACCATTTAGGAGGCTCTGGCAGGAGGCCAAATAAGAGGATGTGACTGATCAGTTTAGAATGTTTTTGGAGGTGGGCTTTACAGTGTTTAATGATGGGTTAGAATGTGGGAGTAAAAGGAGAAGAGCCATGGGTGGTACCAGAGTTTTGGTTGCACGTGGGGTGGATGCTAATGCCATCAACGGCTGTGGAGCATCAGCAGAGCAGCACCAGCTCCGAGCTGATAGATCACTGGGAAACGTAGAGGTAACATTAGGTAGACTACATCTGTCCTTTAGTGGGGGTGCTTTTTAAAGTAACTTATAATGTTAAAATAATACCCATTGTTTGCAAATAATCTATAAATGAAGTAGAACCTTCTTGATAGAACTCTGGTTAGATTTAACCTATAAACTGTGGAATTAACTTGTCAGTAGCTCCTGGTCTGGGCTGGTTGGATTTTGGTGGAACATGAAAGAGCTATAATTAGGCTATAAACCCTGCCCAGGATCATGTGTCTCACAGAGGAGGGCTTTTCATTCAAGGCTCTATAGTCACCTTTCGAGCGTGTCTTAAAATACCAGTGCTCAGGCTTTAAATTAAACCTACCAAATCAGAATCTTCAGGCGACTCCAGTGCACTGTGGGGTTTAAGAAGCACTTACATCCTGTCCAGCCAAATTAGCCCCATGGGTGTTGGTGTGGGTTCAGACCTTTAAGTACTCTAGTTTTATTCAACAAGCCTATGTAATGGCTCGTGTGTGCCCAGGCATCATAGAAGGGTACAAAGGTGATTTAAAGTGGCCCTCAAGTAAGATATTTAAGTGTGTAATGAAATCATGGCATGTAATATGGTAAGTATTAAAATAGCTGAGTCCTAGAAAAAGGAACATAGTAGCTGTTTGGGCAGATAAGGATGCTTCTGAGGAGGTAACAGTTGAGCTGGTGTCAGGGTACCAATTCGTTAGAGAATGGGCAAAAAGAGCCACATGCACACAATGCCATCTTACTCCCTGAGAGAGAGAGAGAGCTACTGTGGCACTTCCATCAGTTACATTTGCTCAAACAGTACCATTGAAATGTTGAGGCCATAGGGAGTAAGAAATGATAAAGGGTTGCTAGTTCTGTTCCACATGACCAGGACTGAAGGAATATAATCGGGTGAGTTTGGGAAATAATCTGTAACACATCCTGATAAACAGTTGCTATTAGTATCCACATTGCCAAGATATTGGTACATTAAAAAACTCCACAGATTCTCTAAGTTGAAATTGTTCTTCTTCTGTCCTTCTGTAGGTTGGTACAGGTCTTGGGCCTACACTGGAGTTTTATGCACTTGTATCTCAGGAACTACAGAGAGCTGACTTGGGTCTCTGGAGAGGAGAAGAAGTAACTCTTAGCAATCCAAAAGGTAATGTTAATCTCTGAGTTAGTCCATTTGTGTTAATTCATGTCAGGTAAAGGTCCTTACAGTTCATTAAATATATTTAACTTCTAGCAGAGGACCATGCTTTCTGACCTTTTAGCCTTTGTTTTGTTTTCTCTTTCATCAAATAAGGGAGGCCCTCCCGGCACTAGAGGGTTTCACTCAGTGATCTGTTACCTGATTTTGAAAATACCCAATTTCTTAAATGTTCTTAGTTACTAGATCTTGCCTTGTTTTGTCTGGGGAAATTGCCTCTAATGTTTGTTGACTTGCTTATTTTTTACAGGAAGCCAAGAAGGGACCAAGTATATTCAAAACCTCCAGGGCCTGTTTGCGCTTCCCTTTGGTAGAACAGCCAAGCCAGCTCATATCGCAAAGGTTAAGATGAAGTTTCGCTTCTTAGGAAAATTAATGGCTAAGGCTATCATGGATTTCCGATTGGTAAGTTTTTTTTTTTCTAGGGTTTTTTTGTACCTGTGTACTATAACATTACCTTAATCCCCTGCACTTACCGCTGTATTTTAAAAATAGTGTGCATATGAATTACTTGGAGATTTCATTTAAAAAGCCAATTCTGACTAATTGATGAGTGAGGCCCAACTTTCCACATTTTCATACCAGCTCCCAGGTGATACCCAAGTGCTGGTTAGTGGCCCATTCTTTTAGTAGCATGGGTTCAGAGAATCAGGAAACATTAGAGGTGGTTTTAGTTACATATTTTTAGTGTTTAACATTATATTTTTAATTAAGAAAGAAAACATCAACTTTCTGCAGCTGAACTTCAGTCAGTTACCATTAGAGTGCTGAAATGCAAATAGCCCCAAGAAATCAGTATTCATTGAGGCTTGATTATTTGTGGACTTAACCTTCATTTCCTCTCCACATTTTCTGAGATACTTGATCAGTATGTGTAAGACATTTTCATCTGATGTTAAATTCACAACCTTTCAATTTTAACTGTAATTTATTGGTTTTTTCCTTTTAACCTCTCTTGCTTCTGAATATACAGTAGTAATACAGACTACAGTGGAATTAAATTTTTTTGCCCCCAAATAGAGTAAGATTCTGCTAAACATCTCAGTGTTGGCTCTTAGGGAGAATATATGTCCATGGAAAAATTCCCTTTTAGGGTCAGTGTTTAAGTGAGATTCTTCAGTATTCTAAATATTTCACAAAATCTGGACCTCACATTGAGTTTAAATGGGAGAGAATTTCATGTACTTATAGAAACAGTTGCCTAAGTATGTGTAGCCGCTTTTAACCCTTAGGGATTACCTGACCTTTTTAAATGACTTCTGGAAGTGTCAGTTATATAACTGAGGCAATTCTAGAAGCTTAGTTGACTGTTGAAATATTTTTCATTCCCTTACAGGTGGATCTCCCCCTTGGCTTACCCTTTTATAAGTGGATGCTACGGCAAGAAACTTCACTAACATCGCACGATTTGTTTGACATTGACCCAATTGTGGCCAGATCAGTGTATCACTTAGAAGACATTGTCAGACAGAAGAAGAGACTTGAACAAGATAAATCTCAGGTAGGCTTAGAAGATGAGAAAATGGTCAGATCAGTTCTTACTGCAGAAAGCTGAGGTCTTTGTTAAGTGGCTTGGGTTTGACCTTGCTATTATTTTACATTAATGTTTTATTTTAGAAGAGTTTGATTTTTTAAATTATACTACCTGGAATATACTGCAGTGGGTAAGATAGTAACAGATGACAAACAGCTTCATTAACAAAGTATGCTCCTAACTGAAACCATAGGTCTCTGTTCAATTTTAGGTGGGTATTCTGTATCTGGGCAGATACTATATCATACTGAATTTTTTTAGTAAGCACTTGAATCAGTTAAATTATTCTCAGGACAGATAGATTTCCCAGGAGAGGTCTTAACTAGGAATAATCCATTTGCTTCTAGAGAGGCCTCAGAAAGACAATTTTAAAGGTCCTGAAGGGTCTCCACTATTTCTTGGTAATGTTGAAGTGTCTCTGTTAGATTTCATGAGTAAATTTGAGCTTTACATCATTAATGTTTATTCTTTAAATATGTATATATATTTTATTAAAGTTTCATTAATATATAGTCTTATGTTGGTTTCAAATATATTATCCTCACCTCCTCTAGTAAAGTTACTCTCTATCAACATAGTAAGATACTACAGAATCATTAACTATTCTCCATGCTCTACTACAGTCTGTCGTCAACTTAATATTTGACTGTGACTTGTTGTGCCCCTTTATCCCCTTCACTCTCCCCCCTCCTCTCCCTTGGTAACCACTAGTCCCTTCTAGGTGTCTATGAGTCTACTGCTATTTGTTCCTTCTGTTTTGCTGTTTTTACACTCCACAAATAAGTGAAATCATTTGGTATTTCTCTCTCTCTGCCTGGCTTATTTCACTGAGCATAATACCCTCTAGATCCATCCATGTTGTAATTAGGACAATTTCTTTTCTTTTCATGACTGAATAATATTCCATTGTGAATATGTACCACATCTTCTTTTTCCATTCATCTACTGATGGACACTTAGGTTGCTTCCATATCTTGGCTATTACACATAGTGCTGCAATAAACATAGGGATGCATATGTCTTTTCGAATCAGGGATCTTAGGAGTAGAATTCCTGGGTCAAATGGTAGTTCTATTTTAGTTTTTTGAGGAACCTCCATATTGCTTTCCACAGTGGCTGCACCAAGTTAGATTTCCACCAGCAGTGTAGGAGGGTTCCCTTTTCTCCACACCCTCACCAGCATTTGTTATTTCTTGTCTTTTGAATAGTGGCCAGTCTAACAGGTGTAAGGTGATACCTCATGTGGTTTTAATTGGCATTTCCATGATGATTAGCAATGTAGGGCATTTTTTCATGTGCCTGTTGGCCATTTGTATTTCTTCACTGGAGAAGTGTCTGTTCAGGTCCTCTGCCCATTTTTTACTCAGGTTATTTGGTTTTCAGGTTTTGAGACTTATGAGTTCTTTATATATTTTGGATGTTAATTCTTTATCAGATGAGTTATTTGCAAATATATTCTCCCATACTATGGGATGCCTTTTGATTCTGCTGATGGTGTCCTTTGCTGTGTAGAAGCTTTTTAGTTTGATGTAGTCTCACTTGTTCATTTTTTATTTTGTTTCCTTTGCCTGAGGAGATGTGTCCAGGAAAAAAATTGCTCATACTTATTATATTCAAGAGATTTTTGCCTGTGTTTTCTTCTGAGAGTTTTATGGCTTCATCACTTACATTCAGGTCTTTGATCCATTTCAAGTTTACTTTTGTGTGTGGAGTTAGTAATCCAGTTTCATTCTTTTACATATAGTTGTCCAGTTTTCCCAACAATAGTTGTTGAAGAGGCTGTTTTTTTCCTATTTTATATTCAAGACTCCTTTATTATATATTAATTGACCATATGTGCATGGGTTTATATCTGAGCTCTCTGTTCTGTTCCCTTGATCTGTGGGTCTGTTCTGGGCCAGTCCCAAATAGTTTTGATGGCTAGTTTTGTAGTAGAACTTGAAGTCAGGGAACATAATCCCCCAGTTTGTTCTTCCTTCTCAGGATTGCTTTCTATTCAGGGTCTTTGTGGTTCCATATGAATTTTAGAACTTTGTTCCAGTTCATTGAAGAATGCTTTTGGTATTTTGATACACATTGCAGTGACTCTGTAAATTGCTTGGGCATGTGGCCATTTTGACAGTACTTATTCTTCTGTCCATGAGCATGGATGGATATAGTTCCATTTATTGGTGTCTTCTTTAATTTCTCTCTTGAGTGTCTTAGATTTTTCAGAGTAAATATCTTTTATGAATTTAGTTAGGTTTATTCCTAGCTATTTTATTCTTTTTGATGCATTTGTTAGTGGAGCTGTTTTCCTTATTCCTCTTTCTGCTAGTTCATTGTTAGTATATAAGAATGTGACAGATTTCTGTGTATTAATTTTGGATCCTGCAACTTTGCTGAATTCAGTTATTCTGATATGTTTTTGGTAGATTCTTTAGGGTTTTCTATGTATAATATCATGTCACCTGCAAATAGTGGCAGTTTAATTTTTTCCTCACCAATTTGGATTCCTTTTATCTCTTTGTGTTTTCTGATTGCCATGGGTAGGACCTCCAGTATTATGTTCAAGTGGTGAGGGTGGGCATCTTGTCTTGTTCCTGATCTTAGAGGAAAAGCTTTCAGGTTTTCGGTATTAAGTGTGATCTTGTCTCTGCGTTTGTTATACATAGTCTTTTATGTTGGGGTATGTACCCTCTATACCCATTTTGTTAAGAGTTTTTATCATGAATGTATGTTGAATTTTGTTAAGTACTTTTTCAGCATTAATTGAGATGCTCATGTGATTTTTATTTTGCTTTTTGTTAATATGTGATGTATGATATTGATTGATGAATACTGTACCAACCTTGCATCCTTGGAGTAAATCCCACTTGCTCATAATTATTCTTTATATATTTAACAATAGATTAAAAATCATTTGACTCAGCCTAAGATTAATAATGGTTCTGTATCTGACATTAGAAGAAGACAAAGTTACATTTTTAAAAAAAGCTTATATTTGGGCAGGTAACATGGACTGATGTTAAGTCAACTCCCATTTTTATGAATTGCATAAAATAAGAATAGATAAATACATAAAGTTAAGAATCTAGTGACAGTGCCACATCTGTTGATAAGATGGAGGAGAGCTTACAGTAGACAGCGAGGTCAGGACTTAGAATGCTTTCTTTTTATCAGGCAAGATGATTTGTAGGAGAATGAATTTTATCCCCCATTATTAACTGGTTATTATTGGTGATTTTTGGAAAAATAAGTATCAGAAATTAGTGTTTAAAGAAGCCAATTCCATCTTTTCCGTATAAGGTCTTAAGGATTTTTAATGCTTAAGGATTTTTAATGCTTACCAACTTTGTAAGTTTTTAATTACTACGATCCTTTTTATGATCATCTTTTAGATAAATAATGGGCCATAAAGAAAAGGAAAGAAAGTTAAACCCATGACAGTGTTGCGAGTGCCTTACATACATCAATTCTTTAACCCCCAACCACGCTGTGAGATTTAGATACTAGAAATATCTTGGGTTACACATGAGGAACCCAAGGCACGTTGAGTCACATACCTAGAATCTGGGAGAGCTGGATTCAAACCCAGGCTGTTTGCTCTGGAGCCTGAACTTACACACCTTGCAAGTTTGTTGTGTCTCCTTGGCTGCAGTGCAGTATGCCACCACAGTTCTCTCCCTCAAATCCTTAAGAGATTTGTTCTTCTAATCTTTATTATTCCTGATGTTGTCACCTTAAAAGTATAAAATATTTGGCGCAGAAACCACATTCCAGAGCTGATTACTGCGTTAACCAACTTCCAACCAGAGCATGAGGAATGGCAGTGTGCTGAAACACCCACCTCAGTATCTTATATACTATTCAGGTGCAACAAGCTGTCCTGGCCGAGGTTCTACTTGGTAGTTTAAATTCTTGATACATGAAAAATGGAAGGATGATTAAGAAGTGATAGGAGAAGAAACTTTTCATTAGCATAGCAGTGACTTGTGACAAGGTGGGGGGCAGTATTGAGAGCTCTCAGTGAGAGAACATTAAAATGGAGAGTGTTTTTTTTATTACTACTTTCAAAATCTTTCTGCTGAAGAATATTTCAGAAGTAAAATGAAAGTCTTCTGTTTGAGTGTCATCAAATAATGCACCTGAAACTGAGACAGACTTTTAACAAGAATTTTTACAGAAGTGAAAGTGGACATAATCCTCAACAACTGTATTTTGCTGCAATCTTAAATAATGCTGCCACCTTCTCTGCATTTTAAATTATCTGGAATCCTGAGCAGCTTTCAGTTTCCTTTTTAAAAAAATAATTTATTCATCAGTACTTCCCAGCTTTAGTTTGAATGACAGTTTCCTGTACCTTGACTGTTTTGCTTCTAGGAATTTCATACTCGGAGGCATCTACAATTTGGAAAGCCATTTGCCTTCTTTCAGTTATCCTTGGAACCAATTTTCTGATAGAATTTGCAGTTTAGCATATTGGTCTTTGATCTTGCATCTAAAAAAACTTTTTTATAAGCTTTTCATAATCTTAAGCATATAAAAAGTAAGTGATATAAACTGCTTTTAACATTTGTCTGCTTATGGCATTTGTCTTTAGAGGATGACTGGATTTTTCTTAGGGCTTTGTTGGAAACGTTTTCTGTCAGAGTGGTACTATATGAATACAAATATGTTATGTTAGGCCTGGAATGATTGAACAAAGAATCCCGGAGTATTTAGACTTGAACCTTGTATAGAAAAAGGGTTAATCACCATTACCAGGTAGTGATTATTTGTATTTACAGTTTTCTTAACATGATGTATTAGTATTTGCTATATACGTATATGAGATTCATTAAGATTAGCCTAGAAATTTATGTAAAGTTTGTTTGTGTCTAGAGGAGTGTATCCTCTTAAATAGGCCCTAACAATTTGAATAATGGTCATTCTGTGAACTCTGATTTGAATATGGTCAAATTGAGTAGCAAGCATCTCATTATGGAGGAACACTCAAGTGATTTTTGTTTTCCTGTATAAAAGTAGTTAGAATCCGAACATGTTTATTTCCTTTGTGATCTTAGTGGCTTGTTCCTGTACAGATTATGACAAAAAAAAAAAAAAAAAAAAAAGAAGAAAGAAAAATGCTAAGAGGTAAAGGAACCCATGAAATTTATTAGCGTATTTTTTTCTTAAAAACACAAAAGCATAACTGAGTGAATAGTTGACAATATTTCTCCCTGCCAACCGCCTCTTTTTTTTCAATTTTAAGACCAAAGAGAGTCTACAGTATGCATTAGAAACCCTGACTATGAATGGCTGCTCAGTTGAAGATCTAGGATTGGATTTCACTCTGCCAGGGTTTCCCAACATCGAACTGAAGAAAGGAGGAAAAGATATCCCAGTCACGATCCACAATTTAGAGGAGTATCTAAGAGTATGTAATTGCAGTGTGTGTCGGGCAGAAGGCAGCTGTGGTGATGCATGGCTTTGCCTGTGTGTACTACTGCTGACCCTTGGACAACATAGGCTCAAACTGTGCAGGTCTATGTGCAGGTCTACTTAACACGCCGGGTGTTTTTTTTTTTTTTTTTCAGTAAATATATTGGACAAATTTTTGAGATTTGTGACAATGTGAAAACTTTTCTCTAGCTTACTTTATTGTAAGGTTATTTCCTCTAGATTACTTTATTGTAGGAATATAGTATATAACATGACATCCAAAGTGTGTATTGATCAACTGTTATTGGTCAAGAGTTGGCTGTTAGTCATTAAGCTTTTGGGGAATTAAAAATTAAATGTGGATGTTCAACTGCATGGGGCTTGGTATCCCCTAGCCCCCATCATTGTTCAAGGGTCAGCTGTACTCTGAAGGAGAGGGAAGGGACCTGAGCGGTGAAGCCCAGGGTTGGTTTCCATCCACTGCCTGCACAGTCTGGTTTGAGGCCTTTGACATCCAGGATCACTGCATGAAGTCCACTTTTTCAGGCCTTAGCTTCTGTTTGCTTTTGAGAGAACATGTCAGCTGTTTCACTCTGCCTTGAATTCTCCAACATCAAGCTGGTGTTATACTATCTATAACACCACATGTTCTTAATTAAGAAGTAATTGGTGAAAAGGAGCTATCACTGGTTTTTCTCACCAGACTGCATTTCTGCCTTTCTATCAAGCCAGCTAACATGATAGAATTTTCTCAGCACACATGTTTGATGGGTTGGTGAGGCCTTTCAAATTACTAATTCATGATCCTTGACTGTATGTGCTAAATTAAAGAAAAATAGTTTTCTATTGAATGCACATTAATATTTTAAATTACAGCCTATGTATATTTTTATGTTATTTCTTGAAAAGTTTCTTTTGGTTTATTCCTGACATTGACTGGAAAGAGCCTTGGGTTCAAGATAAAATACCACCTACACCTAGACTGACTTTTCCATTACTTTAACTGTGTGATTTCAGGTGGAACCTCTGAAAAATCTTGGCTGTGGCTTCTTCATCTGTTTGGGAGAGAAGATAGCAGAGGAACCCAGATATTATTTAGTCTACCTAACAGTTCTATGATTCATATGTAATTTTTTAAATACTGCATAGGACTGTCTTCTCATTCTACCTGCTTCGTTCTGATTTTGAGAAAGCCAGTTTTTTGGCTTACTAGTAAATGATGACTTAATGTCCTGATTAAGGGTCTCTGAAAATAATTTGCAGTAGTGCTTATATTTTTCTGTTACCAAAACACTGTTCTTTTCACTTTGAATTTGTCCTCTATTCCTGAAGCAAGTGGGTTAACCAGAGTCACTGAAGACTAGATAACAGATGCTTTTGGTTACCCTTCAATTTCATGTGGCTGCATTTCCAAAATTTGCCTTTTTTTCTAAGTGGAGAAACATACTGCAAAAAGATTGGGTTCTAAGAATTAAACAGGATTTAGAACTGAAAATTTCACATTAAAAATTTTAAACACTTAACAGTTGATAATTGTGAATCTTGCAACATTACTTAGACCCTTTTGGGAAATTCTCAGCTGCTTCTCATGTGGTTAAGGTAGTGTATTTTAATGTACCATAGGGATTTTAATGTAAACGAATTTTCAAAACACACTAAGTATATAAATACACATCTCATTTTTTTATGTTTTCCTGTTGGCCAGGCCCCAAATCAGAAGTTGACCTGACTGATCTTTTACTTACGCAGTTTTCTGAAAGATAATTTAAAGGACATAATAACCTTTTTTTTTTTAAGTAATCAGGATGTTTCACTGTACTTTACCATGTATTAAAATGGGAAGGAGATTTGAAATCTTGGCATGGTTTTTAAAAGACTTTTCTTCTTGCAGCTGGTTATATTCTGGGCACTAAATGAAGGTGTTTCCAGGCAATTTGATTCTTTCATCTTTCAGAGATGGATTTGAATCTGTCTTCCCACTCAGTCATCTTCAGTACTTCTACCCAGAAGAAGTGAGTATTTAAAATGGTCATTTCTAGTTCTGTTCCTATAGTTGCCTTTATTGGGCTGTTACCTATGTGCTATTCAAAGTCCTCATTTATACAAACAAAAAATAATGGGGTTTGGGAGCAGGGAATAGAAGTTTGGGGAAAATAAGATGATTTCCAGACAAGGTGGAATATTAAATATAACTTAAATATGACCTATTTTCTATTATAAATATATAAGTGGTAAAAATAGTACATATTGGAGATGGCGTAGGGTCCGTGTGTGTGATAGAGAGGGCACTGTTGTCACCCGAGCCACCATGCTGCCCAGTGGGGACGGGGACTCAGGTCCCTGTGCTGCTGTGGCAGATGGGCAAAGCCATGGGGCAGAGGAAGGAAAGTGACTCTAAGGCTGTACTTGTTTGTTTTGGTTTGACAAAACTTCCTGGTTTAGGTGAGACATTGTTTCATGATTTGTCCATGAAGTTCTAAGGAAGTGTTGCAAATCATCTAATTGCCAAATTCAGAGGATATTTGTGAGAATGGAAAAAATAAGTTTATGTGCATGATTTTTTCCTAGCCATTTTTAAACTGCAACAAGAATCTATATCAAAGAACTCATCACTGCTAGTGAGATGGCATAAAAAGGGTCTAGAAAGTTTTAGGTCTTCCCAATGTAGAAACTTTTTGTTTATTTTTTTGAATACTACCTTTAGAATACACATAGATTCTGACTGAGTCTGGAAATTTTTGAATGACTTAGAATTTTCATCTCAATTATTATTTTTATATCCTCTTTAATTTGCTGTTTATGAAGCATATGGTATACTGAGCACTTTTGGGCACTAAGTGGAACTGAAAGTAGCAAGTGTTGCTTCTGGGGTTGAGTCCTTGTACCCCCCACTACTTAGTAACTGTATGACTTTATCTAAGTTGTATCCGACTGCATCCATCAAATTGGGATAACCTCTGTCGTACTAGACAGGATACCTAAAGTACCTGGCAGTGAATGACACATAATAGATTCTAATTTCATAGGGCCTACATTTTGGATTTTCTCAAAGTATATAGTCATTCCACAAATGGGCAGTTAGCCAGAGAAAAATTGGTTTAATTTTTTGGGAGGATCATATTTTTTTAAAATTCTAGCTTCATTTATATACAATCTTATATTGGTTTGAAGTATGTAACACAGTGGTTCAACAGTTGCACTTATTATTAAATGCTCACCCCCACTAGTGCGTTTACCATCTGTCAATGTAGGAAGATGTTACAGAATCATTGGCTGTATTCTCCACAGTATACCACTATCCCCATGACCAACTTAACGTTGTGATTGAGAATTTTTGTGCCCCTTTATCCCCCTCACAGTTTCCACCCACCCCCTGCAACCCAGCCCTTACTCCGTATTAACCACAAGTCACTTCTCAGTGTCTATGAGTCTACCACTGTTTTATTCATTCTGTTCTGCTTTGTTTTTATATTCCACAAATAAGTGAAATCATAACAGATATTTGTCTTTTTCTTTCTGGCTTATTTCACTTAGCATAATACCCTCTAGGTCCATCCCTATTGTGGCAAATGTCAGGACTTCTTTCATTTTTAATGGCTGAATAATATTCCATTGTATATATGTGCCACATCTTTATCCAGTCATCTGTTGATGAACACTGGTTGCTTCCATATCTTGGCTGTTGTAAATGTGACAGTAAACAAAGGGGTGCATATATATTTATGGTTTTGAATCAGATTTGTTTTCTTTGGGTAAATTATTGTAAGTGGAATTACGGGGTCATATGGTATTTCTATTTTTAGTGTTTTGAGCGCTGCACCAGCTTACATTCCCACCAACAGTGTAGGAGGTTCTCATTTCTCCACATCTTCACCAACACTTGTTACTTCTTGTCTTTTGGATAGTGGCCATTCTAACTGGTGTGAGGTGATAGTGTTTTTGATTTGCATTTCCCTGATGATTAGTGATGTGAAGCAAAAAAGATGGTTTAATTTGAAACTGATGTTAGATTTTCTAAGGAGGTGCAGGCATTTCTTGCTTTCACTATAATGGCTCGCTTGGTCCCCATACATGCCCGAAACCATATGGCATAGATGCACCTCTCTTTACAAAATATGAAAACCTATTCATTTGCTCTGTCTGTCAGTTAAGCTTTGATCTCCCACTTCTGTCTCCAGTCTAGTATTCTGTCTCTTGGCTTCCATTCTTTTGTATCCTTGTGTTTCTAAAAGAAGATGGGGATTTATAAAATCTCTCTGGTTAAAAATAGATTATCAAGTTAAAGCCTCTGAAGAAAGGAGAAGAGTTAGGAAAACTTAAATCAGTTTTGTTTTAGTTTCTTTTTTTTGTGATTAAAGGCTTCTCTAGAACCGAGACCCTGCAAATGGACAGTGTACCTATCACTGTGTAACCAAAGAAGAGATGGAGACTGTAGACATTTCAGAAGAGCACTTCTTATAAAGGAGTCCTAAGCGGAAATTTTTAATACTGAAAATGATCTTATTTGGTACATGGCAACCTTTATATGGGCATACTATAAGACAGAATCATGTTGTTTGCATTTTCTCTGAATTAGGCAGCTATGTTTTTTTTAATGTGTTACCTTGTGTAAACATGCAGCTGGATCAGCTCCTATGTGGCAGTAAAGCAGACACCTGGGATGCAAAGACACTGATGGAATGCTGCAGGCCAGATCACGGTTATACTCACGATAGGCAAGTACCCAGAGCTGCCAGTTTCTCCGTTTGTAGGTTTTGAATTTGGTGGTGGTGGTGGGTGTGTGTGTGTGTGTGTGTAATAAACAACAATGGGCTGGGGAGGAGTGTCATTTTAAAATTTGTCTACGTTGTCTTTCAAGACTGCACCAGTAGGTGTGTGTGTGTGTGTGT